TAAGGAAAAAATCACTCTACGCGAATCAGTGGGAAAATTCGATTCAAGAAGCCTAATTCAAAAACTAGAAGCCAAAAAAGTAAATTGCGCAACTCGATCTGAGAGCCACTAACACTTCCGGCACTATTTCTTGAAAACGCACGCTCGAAACCGAAAAAAAATATCCAATCCCGATAAGGAAAAAATCACTCTACGCGAATCAGTGGAAAAATCCGATTCAAAAAACCTAATTCAAAAACTAAAAGCCGAAAAAGTAATTTGCGTCACACGATCTGTCAGCCACTGACACATTCGGCACTATTTTAGAAAAACGCACACAGGAAACCGAAAAAAAATATCCAATCCCGATAAGGAAAAAATCACTCTACGCGAATCAGTGTAAAAATCCGATTCAAAAAGCCTAATTCAAAATCTAAAAGCCAAAAAGTAAATTGCGCAGTACGATCTGAGAGACACTGACATTTCCGGCACTATTTCTCGAAAACGCACGCTCGAAACGGAAAAAAAATATCCAATCCCGTTAAAACAAAAGTCACTCTACGCGAATCAGTGGAAAAATCCGATGTAACGAGCCTAATTCAAAATCTAGAAGCCAAAAAAGTTAATTGCGCAGCACGATCTGTCAGCCACGGACACTCTCTCCACTATTTTTCGAAAACGTACGCTCCAAGCCGAAAAAAAATATCCAATCCCGTTAAAATAAAAGTCACTCTACGCGAATCAGTGGAAAAATCCGATTTAACGAGCCTAATTCAAAAACTAGAAGCCAAAAAAGTTAATTGCGCAGCACGATCTGTCTGCCACGGACACTCTCTCCACTATTTTTCGAAAACGTACGCTCCAAGCCGAAAAAAAATATCCAATCCTGTTACGGAAAGAATCACTCTACGCTGTTATACCGAAAAAATCTAACCGAAAAGCCTAATTTCAGAAATATAGGCGAAAAACGTATAGTGTGCAGAACGATTTCACAGGCACCTGCTTTTTCGTTACTTTGTTTTACATATGCACCTTCAATCGTAATATAATTGCCCTACTGGTTGGAGAACAGCCTACTCTATGCAGTAGGAAGGAAATATTCTAATCCACAATTGAAATTTAGAATGTAAAAGAGATAATACGTAACTATATTGCAATGGAACCTCAAGATCGAAGAAAAATTGAAAAAACTGTTTAAAAGCTGCCTATTCAGAGTAATGTTGATCAAATATTCCAACGAACTGTTGAAATTTAGAATCTTCTACAGGCGATCATAACGGACAATGCGATAGTATTATAGGATCTCGCACTCACACCACTTCATTTCGCACATGTATCATTACACAGTTTACACTATGTAACATCACTTTTTTTCACATATAGTATATTACCACCGTAGAAATGTTCACAGTTAGTAATCTTGAACTCCGTAAAGTAATTAAAACGTCAATCGGCGATATCACTACTTCACGAAACATTCTGAGATTTAATGTTTCATTTTGACGCGTGAGAATATTTCACCATGTTACTGTTATGCCCGCTTGCCGTCAACTGGAAGTTGGTTGTAGCCGGATATGCTAGGTATTTTTGTAGCGGGAAAATGTTGCATCTTTGAAATAGCTATATGATAAAGTATCGATGTATAATATCAAACGACGTCTCTTATATTTAATAATATCAATGAAGCATTTATAAATATATTTCAGTTGCGAAAAATTCCAAATTTCTATAATTAATTCATGAACTGGAATTATTAATTATTCCATTATACTGCAGTAAATAAGATTGCTATAGAAAAGTGTTTTTCTTGTATAATATTCTTATTATTTTGTAATAAATATATGCTAGCATAAGAAAGCGTAAAAAATAAATTCTTTTATTAAGAAATTTTATTGACATTTGTTTCTTTACAATATTTTCATAGGCGAAAAATGAATACAAAATAAAAAATAGATTGAAAAAAAACTACAAACTATAGACAGGAATCGATACCTGGACTTCCAGCATATGAATTTTCGAATGTCACCGTTAGGCCACAACTCTACTTGGAAACTAATGCAAATAAATCTATAATTAAAGATATAATAAAATTTTAATCATAAATATCTCAAAAACTAACGAGTAGTTGCAGCTATAATAATATATATTCTTGAACTTCAGGCGAAATCTACAAACCTGCAAAGTTTCAACTAAATCAGGTGACCCGAAGGACTTGCACTCTCCTGGTAAGCCTCTCCGCCTTTCCATTTACTTGAGACGTATACAGTGTTGTATAATCTACTATAATTCTTTTCTACCTACACCAATTCTTGAACTCTAGGATGGTATATTCTCCTTCATTATCATATTGAAGACTGTGTGTTGTTCTACTTTGCTTCTGCTGCTGCAACATATTTTTGCAATTTCTGTAGTACTTCAGTAATTGATTCCATAAGATATATAATCACAAAATTAATAAAATCTAAGATTGTCATCACATACCTATCTCTATCCCATGTCTCTGGCTCTACAAGTCCATATATATCTAAATGTATTATTTAGTATTACAAAGTATTACGAAGTAAACTTTTCAAGAATTATCTTATGGATATTAGAGATTGAAATTCGTGTTGAACAGTGTTATCCATATATACACCACCGGTTAGTTCCCATGTACCAAAGCTGATATGTGGTACATTAAATGGTTGATAACCACTGCTATAGATGAATACTGAGAAATTATTTTGATAATAATTGAGTACCGTGATATATATTTACATATTTCACTGTTTCACTAACACTATAGTCTTTTTCAAAGTAAAATTGACGTCACGCATAACAGAAAAAGAGCAAAGAGAGATGATTTCCGAATTTAGGTTATGAAAAGAAACATTCCGGTGTAAAGTCTATTTTACACCTTGTCTATGATATTAATATCAATAGAAAAACTATTCGTTCTAAATTATAAACAATACTCATAATGCTTACAGATACAATAATTAAATAAAATTTTGATTAAATTATTAATGTTATGAAGTAATGATATCTACTATAAATTAGTTACATAAACTATTTATATTAAACCAAAGTTTTAAATTTAATTTCGTAACTAGTTTTTGAATTTAACTTATCCATGAAACATAATCATGAAACCGTCGGTAAATGCATACAGATGATTTGCGTTACGTAAATTTTGTTCTTAATATGAAATATATCAGTTAAAATTTTTCCAGCAGAAAATCATTTGTTTTTATTATTGCATTTCTCTGATCACATGATTTTTGACGTTATAACAACATATAGCCATATGTACATGCATTGTCATTTCGAACATGGCTGTGGTGGAGTGTGAATTAAAGAACGATAGTTCGACCGATTTGTCGGAAACACCAGTGCCTTTAAATGAAACGGTTAAAACGATCGAAAAACATGAAACATCGGGAATATCTTTACAATCATCCTGGACATTTTGGTTAGACAAGTAAGAAACTTGGTTATTTTTTACTGCATAAAATTCCAAATTAAATGAACAATATATAAAAATTACAAATTGAACGAACAGTGTATAATAGGAAAGTACATCCTTTTTTGTTGTATTTCATTCTTTCGTTTAGTATTACAAAAATGTATACCTGCAATTTATTTTTTAGTATCAAAGATCTATTATGACTATGACAAAATATTTATAGATTCAAAAATAGAAAATAACGACGTCAAACAATATTAGTTATTGTATCAACCTTATTTATACATATATCAATTGTATGTGTTAGGTCATATACATTTCTCATGATCAACTAGAGACCCATATTGTTTTGTAATTATTTAACAACTAATGTATTATGTTAATATTCCAAATTACTATTTTTGGATATAGTTTTAAAATTATAAATATATGGTTAGAAAAGTTATATCTATTTGTAGCTATTTATAGCGCATCTAATGTATAATGTACAATAATCATGCAAAATCCTATAATTTTACTTTTTTGGAATTTTATATGTTCCTTAACTAATATTCTTTGCCTTTTTATTATGTCATAGAAAGAAATTTAATAAGACATAATTCTGAAAAAGTTAAATCATTGTTTGCTCATAGTGTATATACAAAGTTCTAAAGAGTTGAAAAATTGACAGAGCTATTTCTGGCACAACTGTCGAAGAATATAAAGAAAATTTAACGAAGATTTATACTGTGAACACTGTACAAAGCTTTTGGGCTGTTTTCAACAATATACCAAATGCTAGTGATGTACAAGTAAGTATGTTTATAAGTATGTATATTAATAACAATGCAAACAAAAATTAATTACTTTTGTAATAGGTCAGATTTAGTTACCATTTGATGAGAGATGAAAGATATCCATTATGGGAAGAACCCGTTAATCAGCATGGTGGGACGTGGAGATTAAAATGTCAAAAATCTGATACTGTAAGTACTATAGTTTTGGTTGGTATCTTAAATATATAAATGATAATTCTAATAACTCTAGGAAAAAATATGGAAAGAAATGGTGCTTGCAGCCATTGGAGAACAATTTGCTGAATGTGTTGCAGAAGGTGATGAAATTTGTGGAATAACTGTATCTATTAGAGAGCGAGAGGATCTTATTCAAGTAATATTTTAGAAACATTACAAACTATTTAAATGAGAAGTATGAACTATATTATAAACTTTTCATTTTTTACTGTTCAGATATGGAATACAAATGCTACTTTAGCCCCAAAAGCTACGGTTCTAAATAAGGTTCATTCTCTCTTACCCGATGTAAACTTCTCTGAATTTTATAAACGTGAGTTTCTGAGAATTACTTTTATATAACTTTGTTCTACATTTTATTCTCAATATATCATATTCATTTTACAGCACATCAATCACACCATGCTTATGGCCGTCGTTAAAAGAGTGTTGGTGTTATCAATGTGTTAATTAATTTATAAATATAAATTTACAGATAAAAATGTAATTACAAAAATGAAAATGCATCATATAATTGTACAAGAAAATTTCTATAAATTTGTAGTTAAAGAATCTATATAAATTTTTTATTTTTTGATACTAAATTATGTATTACGCGCATAAATCTTCTATAAGAATATAAAATTCGTTGTGATTGTAACTTTAAATTATCAAATATATTTTTGTATTTAGAAATATACCTCCAACAGTCTTACATTTGTGTAATAATATAAATTATTTTATTCTATCCAAAAATTTCCATCCAGTATTCTTTTTTCATTCGATTTTATTAAAGATTTTTACTGTGTTTTTTATATTTTTGAATAAGGTATTGGAATGCCTATAGAATTTTAAAATAGTTTTACGCTACGGTCTGTAATAAATTTCTCTAGATATACGACACATTGAAAACGTCTGACGCTTGCTCATTATCGCTTGTTGGTCGTTTACGATTTATTTGATACACCTTCGAAAATACTTGTCAATGACATACGAAGGTTGCATTTTAAATGCAGTGTAATAAATATTAATTGAATGATAATAATTTTTGTACTTTATATTACTGCTATCGTAAATTATATGAACTATATTTTAAATAATTATTGTTTCTAGTACTATGATATAAAATAAATCGCATGAATAGAATTCTAGTTAAAAAGATATGAGTCTCTTTGTATTCCACTATACCGTCAAAAAAGAATATAACGACGAGGAACTTCTTTCATTGCGAAAGCACACATTTGAATCTCTAATTATACGCTTATAAAATCAATTCGTTGCCCGACTAACCGGCGCCAGTTTAAGTTTTTACGTCTTTTTGGTGTTCCTTCTATTGACGTCAGTGAATGAATACCTCGAAAATTAAGAGGTCTACTCATATTCAAAACTCCATTAAACTAGTTTTAAATTGCATTTAAATTATGTCCCACATGAAGATGTTTTCTCGTTTACATCACCTATTTCTCTTCCTTCTCGAAAAATATGCGAATTAATTATACACCTATATTTTCTGACAAAAATCTATACTTCACATTTTTACAAGATTATGTAATAGGTCTTTCCCCATTTTGATGCGAATTTCCTATAATTTTTAAATCGAATGATAATAAAAATACGTTATAAAATTTTTTAAATGTTTATCAATTTTCTAAATGTTTTATCAATGTTTTTTTTAATTATTTGTTTACTAAGAATGTAATAGCATCCACATCTTAATTTATCCTTGTACACAATTTTGTGGATACATGCAGGTATTTACGTGTGCATAAATGTGTATACTGCATACTTATATTAATGCTATAACAATTTCCTTTATTTAAAAATTTTTTAAATGAAAAAGGATTACGGTATTATATACTTATTCAATATCTCTCTTTTATTCAAATATAATACTGTTCAGATTCAGTCAGTAAAATCTCGGATAACGGTTAGGTTACTTGAAACAAAACGGATACTTGGAATTTCCTGAATTCGGAATAATGCTGTCGATAAGATTTGCATAGGTTTGTACACGTGATCAGACATACTGTTACATGCCTTTGAAATTCGAAACTTAATCAAAATTTATCGCACTCATTTGTAAAACCGTTTGCCTGGAAAGTTTAGTATTTATTTTTACCCAACGAACACAATAAGAAATCAATCTCATAAATAAAGAAACGTAATAGAAAAATTCGTTTCGCATAAAGTTCTTAATTGGTACTACCTAACCTATAATTTTACATTTCAACATACATCGAATATTTTGCTAAAGATATTGCAATCGAGATTGCTATTGTCAAAGATATACCAACAACAATCTTATTAACACAAAACAATACTAAAATACAATAAAGGACAAATAATTATATCTAAGTTAAGTTGATTCAAATGAATTGATTTAACGTTATTTATGCATATCAGATAAGAAGACATAGAACATTTATTTGTAAATACGGAATGCATTTTATAATTCCTCCATAAATAAGAACTTTTTATATAAATAAAATAGCGATAAATAAATTATTTCTATATAAATAACGATATCGATAATATAAAATAATAAATTATTTGCGACTAGACAATGACTAAGGAATTCTCATCAAAGGATGTAATTGTAACCCAGTGATGAGGCTGCAGATTCCAGCTTGATAAATTCAACTCATTCTTTAATAAATCGCCGTATGAAGAAGACGTGCCAGTCCTTAGGAATTTTCAGCTAGACTTCGATATGCGTTAATCAATCGTAACATTGTTCCGTAGGTAGTAGTTCTGCATTCCTCAGAGGCGTCATATTCTCACGTCACTCCACACGCCAAAAAATTTATACATAATTATTTTACTCGCTGACACCGTTACCGGCAACAAATCGTAACTCATTTAACATTCTGTGGCATCATTTTGTCGTACTACGCCATTAAATCGTTGCATACTCATCTTTTTTCCTTTAAATTAACATAACTTTTACACAGTTGTAAGATTATACGACGCATATTTTCAAGGCGCCGCATTATTAATTTATAATGCACATATTAGTCGACATATCAGCTTTTATTATTTCTTCTCATTTATCGAACATTTTTTCTAGTATTAAAAACAGGAAAATTTGTTTATTTTATTACATCCTATTTCAGTTTAATTGTTAGAATCCTCAGATAAACTTATTGATGTGTATTCGCCGATTTTTGAAAGCTTGAAATATGTTGTAAAAGACGATATTTTTAACACATTCATTCACCAATTGTAGACGATCAGCCTTAGTTTTTTAGATATTAATAGAATTTTTTTGGGGGGGGGGTCTATTGCATTGAACTCTATGTAATTCTCATAAAAAGAATTAAATAATACAATTAAATTTACAAGAAATTTAATAAATCATGCATCAAATAGTACATTTCTCACTCGATAGTACAGCAATTATAATAGTTCCAAGATATTTCGATGATCTCTTTTGAAAAATATTTCAACAATTACGAATTCTTCTAAATATCTTGTTATGTGGATAGCTTTTAAGAAACTGTGATATTCAGCAAGAACGTCACTAATGAACGAGTTTTACGAGTCTCTTTCATTTATATTTTCTATGATAGTATACATCATACGGAATTTCCGTATGAAATGCTGAATTAGTAATACGAAAGGTTGTATCGAAAATAGGTTCACTTTGGTCCACCTAAATAACATCATAGATTTATTCATGGAGAATTCAGAGAAATTAAAAATAATTGTATATATGAAATATAGCTTTGTAAATTTCAAAAAATTCTTATTAAAACTTGACTATTATTATATACGTAATTTTAGAATATAGAATTTTAATACGGTATTAGAACAATTTAAATTACGAATATTAAACATATCTTTCCGCGATTTCGACGTTAATTATGGCGCGAGATATTCAAATATTTGAAGTTGTTATCACTACAAATTGTTAGGAAAGTGTTAAACATCCGACCGAAATGAATTCTACGCCTTGTGATCTGGAATGATTCCGATCGTTACGATGAAAAACGGAAACGATTTTTATATTTTCTGGTATACTGATATACAGGGTGTTTCAGCAGTGGCAATACAACCAAGGAGGGGATGATTTTACGTGAAAAAACAAATCGGAAATAAAGAATAAAATTTTTTCCTTCGAATCTTCGTTGTTGAGAAAATCGTCTTTGAATATTCATCGAGTACGCTGGTATACCGATGGACCACCCAGCTAATATTCAAAGTCGATTTTCTCGACAACGATGCTTCCAAGAAAAAAATCTTATTCTTTATTTTCAATTTGTTTTTTTCACGTAGAATCATCCCCGCCTCCCTTCTCGGTTATATCACCGTTGCTGGGACATCCTGTATATATGTTTTATTCTAAACTATTTACGATTGTTAAACGACACAATCGATACTTGTTATATTTTTATCTCTTTTATAAATCGAGTAAAATATACATTTTTATTTAAACAATTTACTACATAATTTGAAACTAAATGACAAAATGCACTTATGACAATTGTAAGTCGCGAAGAAAAAAAAATGATTATTAGGTTTCACTGTGTACTTATCTAAGAAACTAAAATTGTTTCAAAAACAAAATTTTAATTTAATATGTACTATAAATTTTAGATACACATATACCAAATTCTAAAATTTTATAAAATAAACAACAAAAATATATAAAGTAATTTCACATAATAGTTCTCAAAATGTTTAACGTAGTATTATAAATAATATATTACTGAAATGATAATAATTCTCTACCCCAATATAAGTAATGATAACCTTCAAAATATCCGAAATAAATTTTTGGATATATATATATATATATATATATAGTGAAATAACTTTGTTACTCATTCGAAAATTAATTCGAAAACTAATTCGATAATTTTCTATTCGTTATAATTCTACATACTAGTTCTACATTTGCGTTGGACCTTTGTCTTTAGCATCTTAATATATTCTTTATGTATAAAAAAAGTTAACCTCACACAGGAGAATGTGATCGATAGAATACAGCTGATCAATTCGACATTAATCACGAGTTATCACAGTTGTCCTTGATCCAATTTACGCAATTTCTGCACAGTTGCTCTATAAAACGTAGTATAGATTCATAAAACTTTCATGGATCAAAGTCACAAACGGCCCGTGAACGTACTATACCGGATTGTATACCGCGATTGATTGATTTGGAAAGTAGAATAACAGATTCAATCGACGAATCATCATATACGCCTTTCTTAGGGTCGTTCAATTTCAAATAAATTATTTCTCATAATCACGGTACACTTGTCTCGATCCTTAGCACTCGGCGATATTTTCCTTTTCAGAAAAATAGTAATTCAAAGACTTTCTGTCATAAAGTCAACGATATTTTCAAAACGATAAATAAGAAATCTTATACAAATTAAGATGTAGAATTATTTTACTTCGACATTCCACGCATCGTTAGGTAATTTTAAATTTGATATATCAATTAACATCAATCTTTAGAATCTGATTAAATGGCGACTGAGGAGAGTCGCTTCTTAAAATTGGAAAAACATTTAAAACGTATAGCATTCTTTTGTTTAAGCTTTACCTTTTATATTATACTACATAACGATTGTTTCATTTCAGTTTGCAGAAAAATAACCAAAAGCTAGTGAAATTCATAGTGCCAAATGGTTTGAGAACCTCTGATATAGATCTATTCTTGTAGGATCCGAATGACATAATAGTCGGATGACTGCATGCTGACTGTTAAATGTGCAGTGAGCCTACAAGATAGTCGAGATTACTTGGAACAAGGCTGGTTGCGGTAACAGACACACATTCGCACTGTCGACATTTAGCCATACGAATAATACAAGGTTCCTTTTTCATAGCGTACACTTGTATGAAACTAAGTTTGCGATATTTCAATTCTCACGTTGGTCATCGTTATAGAAATGATTGCGTGATTTTTTCTTTTGTCTTGAAGCTATATGTTTTCCAAATTGCTCGCCATTTTTAACACAATTTTGTAGAGATTGTTTTGAACAGTAATGATATAATTGTATATCATATTCCATATATTCCATTCCATTAATTAAACAAACGAACTTGTTATCTATTCTAATTAACATTGGTGTTTTTCTTTTAGATAGTAGATATATGCAAATAGTAGAATCGTTCCTGATATATGGTAAATCATCTATATGTATAACTAGATAGTTAATAGAACTAGAAGTATGATAGAATATACTTATAAATTCAAGAGTATTAATTATAGTAAAATATATTTTAAGATGTTATGCAGCGACATATTGACGTCTTTTTTGAAATATAAATAAAGAAATAAATTATAGTTCACTTATTTCTTTTAGAAATAATTATATTACTGACGATTTGGAAACATTTCATGGGGAATATCGATTTATAATTCGATCATTGCAAATCTTTAAATCATGCAACAATTGTGTCGAAACAAATTAAAGATAATATCGAAAAAAACAGATCTACAATTATACTTTTCTGTTCCTTCATTTCTTTTTTTTTTATATTATTTTTATCAATATTTACCTCTCAATGTTCGTATCATATTAATTCTTTTAAACGTGAAAATGTAATAATTATGATTTTGTATGGACAGGATTCAGAATCTCAAAGAATGTGATTCTGAGGACCTAACTTAAACTAACTGGGAGAACCGGATGAGCAAGATTGGATCCTTTCAAGTCAGTGAGCACCACCAACTTCCTCTTGCATACAAACTCGTATTCAATTGATTTCCTCGATACTTATTTACAATTTTGTATTTCATTGTAAAATACTTACACGAATTAATTTGCTAAATAGGAACAACGAAGCGACTGACATTTTTCAACATTATTATACTTCATAATCCAACGAAACCTAAAAATTTTTCTATGCGATTAGATAGAATGCAAACAATAGAAAAAGATTTTTTGCCACAAGGATGTCTCTATCAATAAGGCGATATTCTCGAAAGACGTAAACACTGTAGAACAAACAGTGGACTCTGTTCCTGAAAGTAGGAGTGGGGGGCTCGATGTTCCGGAGACGTCACTGGCATGTCGAACATATAACCAGAGACTGAAGGAAATCCCAGCCAGTTTACAAAGACTATTCAGTGGAAGTAGGTTATTTTGTTATTTGTGTCCACTCGAGTCCACGTGAATTCTATTAAGACTTAATTAATAAATCTTTTTAACTTTAAAACACGTTTCTATATTACTCGTAATTTAATTTAATAAAACGAGTAGCTTTCTCGAGGTTTTCTATTCCACGAGTTTCTCAGCTGAAGTATCCATGTGATATATTAAATTCCTTAGATTATTAATACGTGTACAAAGTGTGTTTGTGACAGTTAACGAAGCAAAGTGAAGCGACAAACATGAAAAATTTAAGAATTCCTGTGCTGTTCGCTATTATTCTAATACTGGGATGCCATGCCCTGAATGTCACTGCTTCCGCAATCCCCATGTGGGAATTCCTCTCGAGAGGTGAGAAAGTAAGTATTGTTACCACGTTTCGTCGTAAATTGAACACGTTACACTATGTAAATCGCAATGTCTTTCTTGTCAATATCTCGACAAGAAATACATTTGAATGAAATTGGATTTTTAACCCTAATTTTAACAATTCGTTTAAATGAATATTATTCGTATATTCAAACTTTGATTTGTTGTTTAAACTTTCGTAGATAAATTAAGCATTTATTTCTATCATTGACTGGATGATTAGTTAATCAGTGTTTGCTTTTACATTTTACTGCTTTTTTCGAATAAAACAGACTTCGCACTATGGTAATCTGTGTATGATATTGATAAAAGCAGACTTTCACCAAACACAATCAAGTGCATTCACTGAAAATGCTCTCCCCATACACTTGCACAGTCCGGTTGAGTGCAATTGCGCGAGCGCACCTCGGACGTTGACTTTTCTCATGACATTGTGCCCTTCTTCTTGCGTTGCTTTTTTCAGAGAAACGGTCTTGGGCGTAATAATTAACGATCAATGGTTCCATCATGCGTTAGCAACTGGTTTTCTCGGTAATAACGGCGATAGAATATTTTCAAAAATTTTGTACTCGATACATTTCCTGAGTAATCCTTTTTTCCAGTGCTGATCACAAAAACGACAATTTTCTTATTAATTTTACAGGTAGGATATCGAATAATAATTTAATAATTTATTAACAATTAATGCAAATTTTTCATTTTAATTTTGATTTAATTTTTTCGCGCGTTATTTCAAATAAAATGATAGTGTACTATTGTATTTACTCGGAAAAATTAAATTAACTATTTCTCGAAGTTAGAAAATAGGATACAGCTTATCAGTGAAGAATGCTGTAATCAAATACAGCGGTTGGGAAACAAGAAAGGAAGACAGATCCGTTATACTATTCTTTGATGTTCTTGCATTACACATCGTAACATACATAATTCATTAAACCCGTATAAAAATTGTAAATTCTACATTTTAGAGACACATATTTAAGTTAAATATTTCACAGTTTAACTTGAAATTAAAATTAGTAGTCTGTATATAGATGATAACCTTAGTGGAAAAAAAAACCATGAAAATTATTTTATGTGTGTAACATGTTCATAACACGTATATTGGTAAAAACGACTGCACGTAAATTGAAGTTCAAGAACATTCTCTTTATCCATGGTTGACTTAAACTTGTACCTCGTATTAATTGATTAAAAATACTTGATACTTTTAAAATGGAAAATTATTAAAATTATTATTTGTATCTATTATTCATCCAATGATCCCCTATACATTGAGACTTTCTCTTATTTACGGAAATTTTAGGCGATAACACAATGATACGCCATCGATCACACAGCAGATCTATGTAGGTCAACACCAGAATACGTATACCCTCACTCGTGCAACTTATCGAGATTGAAATTTATCACGTAGTTTAGTATACGTAGAAACAATAAATATCTTTGTTCTCGCCAAATATCATTTATCTACGTGCTTTAAATAACTGAAAAACAAACTGTAAAAAAATATATATATAAAATTAGTTATTAATAAAAGATAATAAAAGGTAATAGTATTTCTATGCAGAGTTCATCGTTACCAAAGACATCTGTCGTATTATCGCATTAAGTTTCGAGAGAATCCAGTGTCATTAGAAATTCTAAGTGTAATCATGCAACCATAGAGGGAGCTGAAAGTATGTGGTCATCGATCATTATGTTTAACATAGACGTACGTACCACAAACGGGGGCATGTTTCGCGTGCTGGGTAGAATTTCTTGTGATGAAAAAGAAAAAAGGCATGTATCGCAATCAAAGCCCGATACGTGATGTACGATAGGCTGTGTCGCGCATATATATTTGTTTGTTATAACTGTAGTGTCCGATATCCTGTGTGTTACACATTGCCGGGTTTCACCGGACGCGCGCAGAATGCATTTGCCCTCACGGAATGGAAAACAGCTTTCGCGATGATCGACAGTTCGCGCAGAGAAAAGAGTATCTATCATTTGAATTAATCTTGATTCTTATCGTAGGATGTAATATAAAAATTAGTTATAAAAGAACATATTACAGAAGACCCGTATGAATATGAATAGTGTTACGACTAAAAATGAATCTTAGAAATAGGATTTGATAATGTATGGCGGGAAATACGAAATCTATGGAGCTCGTTTGTTTAATTTAATACCATAATTTTAATTTAATAGCTCGTTTGTTTAATACCCGTTGAACGGAATATTTCTTTTTAAAAATAACATGTAAGGTGTTTACTTTCAGATGAGTTACTTGTTAAGGGTGTTCAGCCTGCAGGTTTCCAAGTACTGTGTGGATTCCTCGATGCCAGACTGCAACAAAAATTTATTGGTTACTGGGTTGCGGAACTTAGCTAACATGGATAATAATGTCCTCGATAAATTGGATCCGTACCAACACGATGCAAAAGGACTTAGTAAGATTTCGAATTTTATTGTATAAAATAAATAAATGATAATAGTCGAAATTAATTTCGTTCTCGTTAAATCGATATATCTTAATTATAGTTTGGCGTGCCATGATAAAAAATGCATATTCCGCAAGACTCGGACACAAGCCGGATGAATTCTACTTCTCTATCGGAACAGATTCATTAGGTATATGCCTGAAATTTTATAGAAATCATAGGACGTGACAATTGAAAGAAATTTCCGAATTTTTTACTCCCGTTAATTTTGCGATCGCTAAGATAAGATAAGATCGTTGGTTTTATCAGATTTTTTAATGCAAGCGAACGTCCTAATTACCAAAAGAGAAAATATTAATCAAAGTCATTCAAAACCGGTCGATGAATAAGAAGAAATAAACGTTCAGTGGAATTGTGAGAATATCCATGTTTTATCTACGTGACCCAAAATGAACGAAAACAAATGATGTTACGAGAAAGTTCCAAGCATCGTCTCAATCGCGCACGTTCCACTAGAAAGTTTTTTTTTCTTCATCCGAACAAGATCGCGTTTGATAGCAGAACACTCGTTTTCAATTCGACCAGCTTCTTTAACTGCACTTTCACTCGATCATCCGAACGAGTCAACTAAAGTTCGGAAAGGTTTTTCGACTGTCATAAAAAGATTACTGTCACGATCCGAGATCACTGTCGATTTTTGGGGGATTTCCGGTGAAGATGTTGCAAATAGTAGGTTGTCAGAGGAGATCAAATATTTTTTTCTCTTGTTTAGTTTATTACGTGTATATGGATACGGAATATATTGTAATAGTATAACCGAAAAGAAGATAGTTTAAACACAATATAAAAGTGTAAAATTTTCTTTCTCGATTGTGACCTGAATTACATATATTCCATCGCGTATACCTGTAACTTAAGTACTGTGATAGTAAGTTAGAAACTGTATTGAAATTTTAAATTGTAATTGTTTAGTGAGAGATTGAAGCATATCGCGAGTTTATGCAAAAAGAATGGTGTTCTTGGTCGTCTGCATTCTTCCTATATATTTCTTTGGAAAGTCCTTGCGAAGAATCATTCGTCTTGACGGAAGTAGGAAGCAATATCGTTTTAGACTGACGTGAAAATATTAGACATCGAATTATCATAATGCGGAGGCCATGTAGGCGAAAAAAATTATTTTTACGTCGTGTACATACATTATTTAAATCGATTTAAAAGTTAATCCCGTTCAAATATTTATGATTGATAATAATTTTTGTTTCCTTTGTAAGAAACATATTTATTTATGACAAAATTAATTACTCGGTACAAATGTCTCATTGTCAATAAACCTGCGGTCTTTTAGTCCATCTTATAACTTCTTGAAAAGTCGCGTAATCGTCTAAAAATACTGATTTTAATACAATTTTCAAATAAACTAACTAATTAGTTTTGTTAATTAAATTGTTTAAGTGATTCGGATTCTTTTTTTCAAATTTGACTTTCAGGAATAATCTGTAATTATAAAAACTGTAAGAATATTCAGTAAATGAGTATAAAAACGTAAGAATGGAGGATTGTCGAAGGCCATTATTAGTCTCTTTCTTCATACATTATTTAGGAGAGTGGCGAAGAGAAATTTGAAAGTATAATCTCAGAAAATATATAATCGATCATTTTAAATTGTCCGTGATTTCTGGACCGTGTCATATTATTTGCTTTTACTTTTCTTATAGAGTCACATAATAGTTAATAATTTTGAATGGAATCACATTTTTATTTTCATTTTCTAGCTATCAGCGATAGCGATATCAACGGAATAGGAGAAGAAACAATGGCAACACATGATTATGTTCGACCATCCTCGGAGCACACTGGTCCATATCTAGTTGGACCAATGGTAATTCGTGTATATCCAGATGGACGACCGGTTGCGGAAGATTCAACACGACCTCTACCTCAAGACGAAGATACGGAAGAATTCAAACACTCTAGAATACCTTCCATCGAGGAAATTGAAACCGATAAGGATACTTTACACGAGAAACAATTAAAGGAGAACTCGTTTACGGAGACGAAAAGTCATCGATTGTCTCAAGAGGGATCTGCTCATTTTTTGAGCAATCACTCACCATTTAAAAGACGACTACTCCAAGAGGTGATCGCGAAACGTAAAATACGATATCATTAAAGAGGATGTTGGAAAACTTGTATCGGTAACAGAAAGTCGGGTATCTTGATAATAGACAAGTGAAAAATTTATCGAATATTGAACTTATTAGAAATAAGGATAATATAAAGGAGCACGGTTAGAATTGTTTTTGAGATTTGCAACTATAAATAAATCGGTGTAAAGATATCAACGATAATAAAGCGTATTTTCGAAGCGTTATAAGTCTACTGCAGGGACATAGCAAATGATTCGTTAAGTCCAATGAAGATATGTTTGAAAGGGATCAATTTATATCTGTCTTTAGACTTGAAATTATTGTAATTCTTTTTACAGCTTGCGTTGGAAAATATGTTTGTTTCATTGAGTGTATAACTTGAGATTTTCGTAAGAAACTGGTCTTTCATAAAATAAGTAGCAGTAAGAACAATTTGTTATAGTTAATAACTGGAGATTAATTCTTGATAGAAGAATTTATGTCTACAGTATTTAATCGTTTTGAGTAATTCATTGAGCGAAGAGAATGAATGAAGAGTGATATTTTTCGATAATTTTAATTATTCATTAATGCAATATTAGATAATAATTTCGTAAAGTTTAGTAGCGATGAGTTTGAAAAGACTGCTTTTGATAAAGATATTCGAATGTCTCACACAAATGCTAATAATTGCATGAATTTTCAAAAAAGATTTAACTTAGAATATGATATTTAGAATGTTATTTGACGATTGGTCGACAATCGGATCATTTATTTTTATTAAGTAGATTTCAGTTTTAAATAAGTATTTTAAATACTTTAAATTATAGTATATATTTTTTTTTATACCTTTGCACACCTTTTTATACGTAAATAATGTCGACCATGAACGTTTTTATCCTATACTACTATCCATTAATTTATTATTTATTTTATCATCTGCTAAAGTATAATTTGTCTCTACATTGATTCCATTTGTAATTTTTCTTATATCTATGGTATAATTCAAAATAGTATAAAAATGGACAGAATTTTCTTTTTTTATTATATAAGATTTTTCGGAGTCTCGATTAAGTTCTCGATTATTTTTGTTATTTTTTAAGGTACATGTCTTCGTGACACAAGGGAACTTACCTCGCTGAAAATTTGTTATTTTTTCATGCTGAGTGAATATACGTACAAAACTTATATAATATAATGTTAGTGAAATATATTGTCAAATATGCAATAATGTTTACATTCGAATATTTTATTTGTTAAAATATTATAATTATAGAAATTATAGTCGAATGTAAAAGATGAAAGTAAATAATTTTATAGATATATAATTTGAATTTTGGAATTTTATATATTATGAAGTTCTGATATATAATAATATATAATTCGTATGATATTTGTATGTGCATACTACATATGATATTTTAAAATATTGTATCAAAACTCCTTTCAAACGTAAAGCGTCCATATTTTATACAAATATATAGTAATTTAGATTTTATATAAAAATGTTTTCAAATATTTGTAAAATTTGGTATCAGATTAATACCAAAGCAAGAAAAAATAATTTGTTGTTATAAATATTTTTAAAAATATATAGATTATAAATAAAATGTGATATTTGATTTCAGAAGAATTAATTTCTTTTAACATCATTGTCAGATTTTTAATTCTATTTATCATTAAAAATATATGTGCGTAAAATACAATATTTTTATTATTTCTATCAATTTCTTTTAAATCATATTTTTGTTTATTGATGAAGACTATGCATTTTTTATTATCATGGAAACAGAGCTTTAGTATCATCAACTGCACAGTTATTCCAATCTTGTTTTGCTATAGTCAATGCTTCAGCTAAATAAGGCAAGGGCGGAACAAGTATTTCGATGGAAAGTGTGTGGGAGGGGGACATAGAGAAAGATACGAAGGAGACATTGAACCGATTCTCATTGTTGAGTTTTTCAAGTATTATTTAAAAGAAACAAACGGAATAAAAATGTCCTATGAAACAAGTAAGTGACAAGTAAACATTTTAGCTGCTTTTTGTATTCATCTGGCTATTTATTACTATTTGTTTTGTGTGAATATCGAGCTGTTCAATTTTCCGGTCTTATCTCAAACCAAATCATAACACTTCAAATGCATCAGTGATTCACATTACGTCGTGTCACAATATATTGCAAATGAAGTAATTACAAATTTTTTTTGTACTTAATCATTCATGCAGAATTGATTATTCAGCAAATTATTTTTCATTTTATTCGTTCATTATTTATCTTTTATTTTTTTATTTTGTTAAGTGATAAAAGTGAAATTTAAAAAGTCCAAAAATTAATACTTTTAGAATAATCCTAATTATTTGAATTATCACATGTTCATGATTAATATATCTTTTAAATATACATAGTTATATTAATGCAAATTTAATCAATAGTATATTTTCTATAAAATATTTCATATAAGCAATTATAATTTTAAACCAAAATATGATTCTTATACCAAAAATAATTTGAGATATTACACACTGGACTTATGCCAATGAACCAAGGAAGTATATTTTAGTTTCACTTAGAAAATGCATTCCATCATACAATTTTCTCCAGATTTTATTATAAATAATAATTTACATTTAGTATAAATAATAATAACAATAACAATTTGTATTTAATAGAATTACTATTTTGTATGATATGCTGTTTTAAATGGATTGCTTTTGTAATACATATAACAAAATATTATTTTAATTTATTTTTATAGAAAATATATTTGCTACACTACCCAAGACACAAAGAGGACAACCTCTTGTATTAGGAGGTGATCCTAAAGGAAAAAATTTCTTGTATACTAATGGTAATAGTGTAATCATTAGAAACATTGATGTGAGTATAATAATAATAATAATTATTATAATAATAACATATTTATAAGTTATATAAAACAGTGAAACCCATTATTACTATAATAATTTTTTATTTTTAGGACCCTGCTATTGCAGATATTTATACAGAACATTCTTGTCCAGTCAATGTTGCAAAATATTCCCCAAGTGGATTTTATATAGCATCAGGTGGTATGTAGAACTCGAAATAAATGCTTGTAAACAATTAGTATGCCTAAATAATAACTCAATGGATAAATATTCAAAAATATGTACAAAGGACATATTTTTGTTATTAGATCAATCAGGCAAAGTGCGTATTTGGGATACTGTTAATAAAGAACACATTTTAAAGAATGAATTTCATCCTATTGGAGGACCCATCAAAGATATAGCTTGGTCACCTGATAATCAGCGTATGGTAGTTGTTGGAGAAGGAAGAGAGAGGTAAATAATTCAATAATTTTTTAGTATGATTTCAACTTTAGTAATAACTTTATTTCTGTATGTAACTTTAGATTTGGTCATGTATTTATGGCGGAAACTGGTACATCTGTAGGTGAAATCTCAGGTCAAAGTAAGCCTATTAATTCATGTGACTTTAGACCTGCTAGACCATTTAGATTAATTACTGGGAGTGAAGACAATACTATTGCTGTTTTTGAGGGACCTCCATTTAAATTTAAGTATGTACTCGAAAATTTTATTTTAATTTTTCATTTTAATATATATGTTAAATAATGAATTTCTATATAAGTTTTCCGGATATTAGCATTGCCTTTATAAAGAAATATTTAAACTGCTTATTGACATTATAGCCAATTCCATCACCTATAAACCTTAAATAGAAACTGTACAATCTCGAAACGTGGAAGTTTCGAAATTTCGATTTAAATAATAAATTTGTCACGTGTACAGAATGACCAAGCAGGAACATACTCGATTCGTCCAAGCTGTGCGTTATTCACCTACTGGTAACTTATTTGCATCTGCAGGATTTGATGGAAAAGTATTTATTTATGATGGTACGAACTCCGATTTAGTTGGGGAAGTAGGGTCACCAGCTCATCAAGGCGGAGTATATGGAGTACATAAATTAAACTTTTTAAATATAAATTCTACTAAAAGTAATAATGTACTTATCTTTAATAAATTTTCCATAATTTTACAGGTGGCTTGGAAGCCAGATGGAACGCAATTATTAACTGCTTCCGGTGATAAAACGTGTAAGCTTTGGGACGTGGAAACCCGCTCATTGATTACTGAATTCAGTATGGGATTAACAGTCGATGATCAACAAGTATGTAATTTTTCAGTTTTATAATACAACAAATTATCAATAATGATTTTGAAAAAATAAAAATAAAATCGGTAACAAGATTAATTTTCCCTTAGGTCAGCTGCTTGTGGCAAGGAAAGCATTTGCTATCTGTATCTCTAAGTGGTTTTATTAATTATCTAGATACCAATAATCCTACGAAACCATTTAGAATAATAAAGGTAAGAAATTGAATAATAAAAAATATTTTTATAGGATGAACTTTTGTTACCCTTTCACTTTTTTAGGGTCATAACAAACCAATAACAGTATTAACTTTGAGTCCCGATAGAAGTACAATTTATACTGGATCTCACGATGGATATATAACTAATTGGAATGCAGAAACAGGAGACAATGACCGTGTTCAAGGGCATGGTCATGGAAATCAAATTAACGGAATGAAAGCAGCAAAAAATGTGCTTTATACTGTTGGTATTGATGACACCTTAAGATCAGTTGATATTGATACAAATACATATATTGATACAGCTGTAATTAAACTGGATTCTCAACCGCGGGATCTAGACATTTACAAGGATATAATTGTAATTGTAACTTTTCGAGAGGTAAAATTACCATGTGACTTTATTTCAATTTAATGCTTAGTTAAATTAACGCTAATTGCTTGTTTCAGATAATAGTTATACGAGATGAACGAAAAGAATCAAATGTTATTCATTATGAACCATCTTGTGTGTCAATTAACCAGGAAAATGGTGATGTAGCTATAGGAGCCATAACAGATAATATGGTATCTTTGTTAAATTCATACCTAAAAATGATTGCAAGGATTTAATACAATAATTTTTTTATAATTTCCAGATTCGTATACACAGATTATCTGATACCACGATTAGTTTAAAAATAGAATTAGAACATTTAGGTCCAGTCACAGATGCTGCTTACAGTCCTGACAGTAAATACTTGGTAACTTGTGACACAAATCGAAAAGTGGTTCTATATACTGTTCCAGACTACACGGTAAAAATGCTTATTTTATATAGTTTTCAAAACTCAAGATATGTTTGGAATTCATACATATCGCTTAAACAAAGTTACAGATAAAATATTAGCTGCTTTTTAATTTAACCTTCGCCACTTAGTAATTAAATTCATTAATGTGATGCTTTTAACGCATATATTGTGATTAATATCTGCTATTAGTAAAATATTGTAACTGCTACTACATGTATGTGTTTTTATATCTTTTTTTTTTTTTGTAACAATTGCTCCTTGTAAATGCTTGTTGGATTTTTAGATGGTGAGTAAATCTTTTCGCTTGAAAACGTTTGTTATTACTCGATCGATATCTAATCTCAAAATTTATTAATAAAATATATCTTTACAGCTTGCCCACAATAGGGAGTGGGGTTTCCATAACGCAAGAGTGAACTCCGTAGCATGGTGTCCTAATTCTGCTATGGTCGCAAGTGGTAGTCTTGACACGACGATTATCATCTGGAGTGTAACGAATCCAGCGAAACATACTATTATTAAAAGTAACTACATATAAACTCCTCTATTTATTACTTTTATACTTATTTTTATATTAATGAAAAATATGCATGTGATTAATAAAAATAATTTTATTTCAGATGCTCATCCTCAAAGCCAAATAACACGTTTAGTTTGGCTAGATGAGGAAACGTTAATCTCAGTCGGTCAGGACTGTAATACCAAAATATGGCGTATAGAAAAAATTTAATTAATATTCTGGAAGACGTCCTTTCTTCTTTTTAAAAGAGCTTAATTTTTGAATGCATTTTATTTATTTTGTAGCAATGAATATTGTATATTATTTTTTAATACGATTTCCCGAATAAGATTGATCAGATTGTATTAAGATCTTTTACATTCGGTATATCAAAATAAACAAAATAAATACACAGTATATACAAACAAAATTGCTATATCTTTTTAAATTTTTGCAGTGTCAATTATAAGTAACACTTTTTACATACAATAATTATTTTTTATATATTTACAAAGTAATAACAAAAACATGCTGTCTTTTTGATTCTGCAATTTTTCCTGGGTGATTGTAAAAAGAATTAATTATAAAAAAAAAAAACATCAAAACGGAAAATGTCAATGTCTACTTTGTCTTTATTAAAACAGCGTAACGATAACAAGAAAACAGTAACAATTCGAACACTAAAGACTTTGAGGAACGTAATTACGCTTTAAGTTATTTGTACATTTAAAAACCACATAACCAAGGTGTTACTATAACTTGCCTTATCTTAATCAGTCTAGTACTGAATATTTCTTAAAAAGATGAGGTACATAAGTTTTCATATTAAATCCTCTCTTAATTTATTTTCATACAATAAAATATTTAACTTTCATATTCAACTGCAACATCTAAATATTAACATTAAATTTATATATTAAATCAAAAAGAAAAAAACTGTTAAGTGGGATTATATAAACTGGGAAGTTGTCTTTATGCATTTTTGCTTTAAGTCACTTCACCTAACACTATGAAGGATTTTTTTCAGCTAAATAAATAATTGTACAGTGTATCGCTTGAATAAGGAAGCATTTCAATAACTTCACAATAAAAAAAAAAAAAACCAACGCTTTTATATTGACACACTCTTGCTCCAGATTAAAAATCTCTTTACTCGAAAAAACAAATATATATCCTAACAATAAATAACGAAAAAAATCAGGAAATTTATAATTATTTCCTTTTCTTTTTTGTCTCATTAGTTAATAAAATATTTAGGTCAAATTGAATAACACAAAATTTTTCCTTTAAATAAAACGTATCCTGAAACAAGAATATAATATAAATCAAAATATCTAGAATAAAACCAGAATCTATAATTTCGATGTACTATATCTTGATCGTTTCTGTGACGACGCTACTGGATGTCTGTAAGAAACATGTTTTCGAAGGGCGTCTCGTGATCTTGATACATGTGAACAAGCTGTACAACTATACGAACTATTACTGTGAGTTTCCATATGTACCCGCAAATTATACTGATTACTCAATTGTTTTCCACAGATAAGACAAGTAACACTAGATTTGTTGTAATTCTGAGAAGTTCTACCGCTCACAGAACTCGAAAGAAACTTAAAATTAGAATCCCAAACAGGAGGAGGTTTTGTTTCTTCAACTGGTGTAATTTGATCTTCCAAAACGGGAGTACTTTCATCCATTCCACTTTCTGAATATGCTTTCTCAGTGTATTTGTTGGTAGAAGTAGTAATAGGAGGAATACTGACTTTTTCTCTTTGATTTAACTTTGCATTAATGGAGTAATAGGGTTTAGTTTTTACACAATATGGTATACTTTCTTGATCATTAAATGATTCTTCCATGTTTTCAGCTGTTTCTGTTTCCAAAACCGTTTCTAAAGATTCTCCACCACTTGTAATGTTATCTTTATTTTCTTTTTTTATCGATGTTTCAGCTAATGCTTTTTCCTGTAGTTGCGCTGGTGGAGGCTGAATGTATAAACCATTATCGTGTCTCGAATTTTTCTGTAAAAAAGAAAAAGAAAAAAAAGAAAAGAAAAAAAACACGAAAAAAGTTAATTATAACTGTGAAAAATAGAAATGTTAAAATTGAAGATTGGTATATTTAAATTTCGTTTAGTTCTTATGCAATTCTACTTTTATATTTTGTTAAATATTCAAAGATATTGCTGTTCTACCTAGCCTCTGAGATTAAATATCTTTTATTTATAAAAAGAAATTAGAACTAAATATTCAAAATTTTCAATCTTTGCAATTTTTTTTTATAACAAGTTATTCCATGGAAAAAATTTTCATGCACTGCCTTCCTTGTTCATTTTTATTCTTTTTAAATTAAAATAGGATTGTTAAGTACTTATATATTAATTCTAAATATTTGTTATAGCCACTCTTGACTAAAATATAAAGCATTATTGTAATGCAAAAAAGGACACATTATATAAAAAATAGACTTAACTGTTCTAAAATATCTACTGAAAGTTTTAGTTATGTAGAGAAATTCTTGGATAAAGCTATTTTAGATATACCTGTAAACTCATTCTATGGGGAAAGGTTCCATGGGATGCATCCACTTGCATTTAGTTGCAACACACACAACGATCTTGATCTCGTGGATATCGTTTATATTCATTATCGTTCCTTCGATGCACGTATGAACATAATACGTGTAGTAGGTAATTCCTTCGTGTAATACTTCTTGAGGAACGACAGTGAATGTATTTAAGTGACCTGAACAAAACAACACGATCAGAGGGTAATAAAGATTAAAGAAGGGAAAAGCGAATATGCAATTTGGTTTAGAAATTACTTTTTTGTAATTCTGTATAAAGGAATTGGTACTTAATTAGTATTTCTTTTGTTATGTTTAATTATTCAATAATTATTACATAAGTATTTCTAATGTAATGCATCCAAATATTTCTTTTTTATGTTTAATTATTTTACTATTATATATATTAAGAATGTATTACATAAAATGTAATAAACGATAGAACAGTTTATTTTTATATTAATTAAGAATGAAATATAGAAATATTTTGAACAAAAATTTTTACTTTATGAAATGAAATATATATTTTTATTACATTAAACATTATTTGGTAATCATAACATGAAATTTACAATTATTAAATATTTTCACATATTGGATATTTAACTAAATTCAATTAACAAGTTACATTAATATTGTAATGATTATTATAGGTAAAGGTACAATTTTGTCAATATATTATATAAATATGTTTATATGTTTTTGGAGAACAGGTTACAAGGAAATTACAATTACCAGCAAGGAATTGCTAATGTTTATGGCATGAAAATAAATACATGCTTTGTTATGTATGTTTTTTACAATTCACACTGAGACAAGCTTCATTGTAAGAGGAATAATGATTTATTAAATAATACTTATTATCTGTTCCTATTATGCAATTAATAACCAACAATATAAGAATTAGTAAATAACATTTAAGAATCTGCTGAGTATATGGCAATTATCATTTACAAATAGATTTAACAAAATTTAAAGTTATTCAATTCAATAAATTTTTATTTTCTAATCAATTAAAATTAATTATAAAATTTATTTTATCATTTTATTATTTTACTATTCATGTATTATCATATTATTCTAAACTTTAAGAAAAGTTAATTGCATAGAACTTATATTTAAAATGCAGTCATGCTACTTAATATATAAAGCATTAATACAAGAGGTTTGGTAGAACAGTTATGAAAGAAAAGTAGATAAAAGTATAAAATTCCAGAAATTTAAGTTATGCATACCAAAAAAAAAAAGAAAAAGAAAAAATGGGGAAAAAAGAAAAAGAATATTAATAAATCCTTAAAACGCAGTATTAACTAAAGTGCAAACTTACCAATCCAAAATGTTTTGTGCAAACATTACTTTGTATTTTTACTATATTAAACAAAAACATAGATGAACTTCCTTACCCCAGCTATATCAGCTAATCCACGAATATGTAATGTATCTGCCATTGCCAAAAGTGCAGGTAACTGTTCTTGATAAATATTCACTTCACCATTATACATGAATGTAACTAATGCGCATAAATTTGCATATTCCATTCCTGGTAAAACAATTATAGGATGTTGCAAAGAACCTAGGTCCTAAAAGTTGATTTATATAATTTTTATAGATACTATTTCATAAAAAAAATATTTAATAATTTAAAAAATATATGTAATACCTTAAACAATTCTTTAAAATAATAACTACAAGCAGAGAGAATAATTTTATGTGCATGTATATGTCTACCACCAGCACTTAATGTGACATCTGTTAAATAACCACCATCAAGCAGCTTAGGAAGAGAACTCAATAATGTGTTTTGAAAATTATGCCATCGTAAACAAAATTGTTGACCCTCCATGATTTTATGTACTGTAAATCAAAATTACACCATCCTTTAGAATAAATTTTTATATATTCATAATATTACTTATTCATTAATTATATATGATAAGTAAAAATTTGATTACCATTTGCATAAAAATATATGAAACTTAAAAACTACATAAATTTAAAAACTGAAGAAAATACAAATAATCATTTAATTACCAGATCATAAATTACACAAATAAAGTAATTCTAAATTAAAATAAACATTCATAACTATCGACAAAAAGTTACATAAAGTAGGTACGAATATACTATTTCTTTTATACGGTCTATTAATTATATGTATACTTTTATCATAAAAAATAAAACTATGATACGATAGATTAAGCTTCCAAACTCATTACACAGACTTAAGGTTATGTGTTTAAGGCTCTTAATAAAACAGCAAAATATTTCGTTGCGTCTGATTTTATCTATTTGCGCCGGACGGAAGGGTAGTTGGGTTACTGCTGGTAGAGCAGTTCAAGAGATAGACAATACTATTTATTTAATCAGGCTGCAGGTTCCAGCCAAGTCTATTATTGTACCTTCAGGTATGGCTGGAGGAAAGAACAAATATTGGCTCACAATTTATAACAAATAAGTTTCCCTTTTATCGTCAATAATTGTAATAAAATTGATTAACGGCACAGAATAGTATTACAATTCTACGCATCAGTTGTCCTTACCTCGATAAAAGTTATTTAATAAAATCGTTAATGATATTCTTTACAAGACACTTCACATCCATCTGGCAAACTTAGCCATAATCATCAGTAACGTAGAAAAAGTATAGCAGTTTGTGCGACGTCGACATACACTGTCACCTGTCGACATATTATAGAAGTATTTGAAATAATCGTAGAAAAACAAGCTGAATAATTAATTATTTGTTTTTAACTAGTAACAATTTTTCCAATTTATTACCATTATAACTATTAATTTCGATTTATTCATAGCTTTTTAAGTTTATTGTCAATGAGTATTACAAAAACTTTGTTAAATTTATATAAAAATCATGTATATACATTAAATTTCTTATAAAAGAAAAATATATTTTGTTATATTGTATGAAATTTAAAAAATGTTTGAATAAATAAAACTCATTAAAACACGGCTAAAAAAAAGTTCTCAATATTTAATTTCGTATGTTACTGTATTTAAATACTGTAATACTATAAATTTTGTTGTATAATACATATAATATATATATCACTCACAAATTACTTAATATAAAAACGTAAATAATAAAAACATGCAATTTCCATAATACTTTGCACATAAGCATAGACGAGATGGCGCTCGAAATTATTTGTTACTGTAATTTATCAGTCTACCATAATTCGTCCCTGTGTAATGAACAAGCAATGTCTGGTGTATTTTAATGGAATATCATAATAAAATAGTATAGGCGTTATTTTTCGTAAATATCGAAACAAAATGTATTTAATTAATCAATCACCTCGCGCTTAAAAAATGTCTAACACACACTTATGGAAACGAATATGCTTTCATTCCTTATTTTTAATTTCGTTCACATTCCCGTTGATTAATAGTGGTGATATAAAACAGTTGACATTTTGTGAACAGAAATCATCTCGTAGGTAATTAAATACAAATTTAGTATCCATATTTAATATTTCAGTGTACCTGTATTGTAATTTGTAATTTTATCATCATTACTTATAAATCATTAAGTAATGTTTAGAAATATTTATGTAAAAAAAAATATAAAATGGATAAAAAGAATTTTAAAATTCATTAGATCATAAAGTATTTACTATATTTATTATTTTTTAAACGTATAAAAAAGTAAAAGTTATATTTTTTCTCAATAGTTCTTAAAAATAATTATGAAAGAAGTTATTTTTATTAATTATTAAAATGTCATTAAATAGGTGACACAATGTAGAGAATAAGAGTAAATTTTATGTTATGATATAGAATATCATTTTTATTTGTATTTTTATTTGTATTTTATTGATATATCAAACACTATGCTACATAGTCACAATGGTATATAATGAAATGTTATGTTTCATGTTTTTAACTATATATATTTTGTTTTCTTTCTTTTAGCTTATTATTTGTAAGTACATTAGATGGAAGGATATCTGCTTTAGATGTTAATCTTGGAAGAAAGCAATGGACATTGGAATTTAATGAAGGACCAATGTTATCATCAAATATTCATCATAGAGAAGTATATAAACATTAAATATATTTTAAATGTTATGAATATATTTTATATCTTAACAATCTTATTTCAGCTTAATAATAATGGCAAATGGGTTCGCCTAATTCCATCTTTAAATGGTAGATTATATCAATTTGATGAAGAAAATTTAGAAGCAGTGCCAATATCTGCAAGCCAATTATTGCATTCATCTTTTCGTTATTCCAATAATTTAGTATTCTCTGGTGGTAGAGAAGTAAAATCATATGGTAAATATTTTTATAATGCATCAAATAAATAAGTAATTATTAACATATAAGAGATAAAAAAGAACTACATGAAATAAACTTTTTATTATAGGTATTTCAAGTATAACAGGAGAAATTTTATATGAATGTGGAATTAATAATTGTGTTAATATTACAAATGGAGAAGCATATATTGAACAAGAAGTGCTTATTGTTCAGAGATTTCAACAAACTGTAAGAGCAGTTGAACCACTTACTGGTATTGAGAGGTACATTTCTTAAATATAAAATTATCAAATTTTGTTAATGACAGATATTATATTAAAGACATTTACTGTGTAATAGATGGAACTTTAGTGTTGGTCAGCATGACCTAGTACTGGTCTCTCATTCTAATATTTATTGTCAAAATAAAGTAACCCCTCATATTCTAGATATTGAGATTAAAGTTATTGTACCTGATGGTCTGATTTGGGCTATTAATAGAAACAATCCTACAGTAAAATTATGGCAATATAAGGTCAGTTTTAAATAATTACAAAAACAATGTATACTTTTAAGCTTTTTATACATTATATGCATTTATATTTTACTAGTTTGATTCCCCAATTGTTACTATATGGCGCGAAGATTCAAGTACAAAAAACAATGAACATAAAAATTTGAAGGAAATTAATTTATTTGATAGTACACAATGGTCTTGGGGTACAGAATTTTCAGTCAGTCCAGCTATTTATTTAGGTATGCATGATAGGCAGTTATATGTACAAGAAAATACAGATGTTTATAAATCATTAGACACATCACCAGTACGCATGCAGCATTCAAAATATCCATGGCAACCTTATCCTGCTATTGGTATGAAAGTTTAGTTCTTGTCTTTCATCAAATATAGTACATAATATTACTTTTTATCAATATATTGTTCTAGTAAAACATAATATATTTCAGATAATGCAATCAGCAAATCTGTTTTAAATTATCCGAAAAACAATAATAAGAATGATGATATCTTGCTTGAAATAAGTGATATACAAAGTACCACTGCATTATCAGTTTTATATAATTCGGAATATGTAAATGGTATATAAATGAAAAATATTAAGATTTTGTTTACATCACAGAAGAAGCTATTGTTTTCAATATTTAAAATTATGTTCTTTGATACAAAGTTTTTTTTTAGGAAATGGATTCTATCTATACTCAACAGATCAATTAGAATTAGATAATAATAAACAATGTAACCGTACCGAGCCAAATTTAATGTTTATTAAAGCAGGACAGAAATCATTTGGAGCAAATAATACTCAAGAAGAAAATGAAGATACTCCTGTTCAAGTTATAATTGTATCATTATGGTATTGGTGGTATGTAAAATAAAATAAAAAAATATAAAATATTAATTTTTTATAAAAAGAAATTGTTTAATAGGAAGGAAGTTCTGATAATTTCAATTACTACTGCAATTCTACTTAATTTCATTTTAACACAACGTCTGTTGAATACTAAAACAATCACTGGAGATGCAATATTTTCGGTAAAAGATATTATAAATTATTTTAATGTTATATTAAAATATAAAGATATTGGTCTTGGATTGGAGTTTAAAATATTTATCTTTGTGTGATTTTATAGCCTTTGATAATTGAAAGACATATAGAGAAAAGTACAAATAATCATTTGCCTAATAATGAAAAAGAGATTGACAATTTTAAATCACGTTATCTCACAGATTTTGAACCAGTGGATTGTTTAGGAAAGGGTGGTTATGGTATAGTTTTTGAGGCAAAAAATAAAATAGATGACTGTAATTATGCTATTAAAAGGATTGCTCTACCAAACAGGTTTGTTAAACATTTTAGTGAATTCTATGATTACCATAATATTAATATGATGTAATAATTAATATAATCAAAAAATAAAAATAAATTTAACTAAATTTACAATCTTTTTTTCTAACTTTGTTTCATAGCACATATTCAAGAGAACGAGTAATGCGAGAAGTGAAGGCATTAGCTAAATTAGATCATCAAAATATTGTAAGGTACTTTAATGCATGGCTCGAATGTCCACCTGCTAAATGGCAAGAAAAGCAAGATTTGCAATGGATAAATAAACTGATGTCTCCAAATTCAGATTTTACTTCAGAAGTAACTTGTTCAGAAACAAAAATGAATGATTCTGTTTATATTAATGTTAATCAGTCTGATCAATCATCAATAGATAGTGCTTGCGAGATTTATGAATTGAAACATGATGTGGACGAAGATTCCTTTGTTGTGTTTGAGAAACCGCATTCACTGAGTCAGAATGAAAATATTATTAATATCAGTAATTCTAATATTGAAAATTCTAATTCATCTCAGTCAAGTAGGGAAATGGAAAAGATATTACCCAGAACTAAAGGCTGCACACAATCTGAAAGTATTGTGTTTAAAGACACTGATAGTAAAATGTCAAAAAAAAATGAGAAAAGAAAACGACAAAAATCGTTTTCATTAGATCTAAATAATACAAGTACACAGAAATCTCCAAAAATGTTTCTTTATATTCAAATGCAATTGTGCCAAAGGCTAAGTCTCAGAGAATGGTTAAAAAATCAATCAGTGAGAGATTACCGTCGTGTATTAAATATATTTCAGCAAATAGTTGAAGCTGTGGAATATGTTCACTTACAGGGACTTATTCATCGTGATTTGAAGGTAATATTTAAGATAATAATTGTTTTATGTCACAAAGATAAAAATTATTGTTTTAATGTTTAATGAATAAATTACAGCCTTCAAATATATTCTTTTCTTTTGATGATAAAATAAAAGTTGGAGATTTTGGTCTTGTAACTGCAATGACAGAAGATTATAATGAAGCGCATACTCCTTCCTCAAAAAATGAAGATGTTAGCCTCAAAAACAGTTTACATACCGCATATGTCGGTACTCACCTTTATATGTCTCCTGAACAAATAAATGGTCAGGGCTATAATTATAAAGTTGATATTTATTCTTTAGGAATTATTTTATTTGAATTACTCATTCCATTTGTTACTGAAATGGAAAGGATAGTTGCTCTTATTAATTTAAGAAAGTCAGTATTTCCAAAAGATTTCAGCAACGATTATCCGGCCGAGGTAAAAAAATCATATATTTTATACCTTAAAGAATTAAAATTTTTGTTATTATCAAAATGTATTAACTACAAATATTTTATTTTTAGTATGATTTATTGAACATGATGTTAGATGAAAATCCTAACAAAAGACCTACAACACTAGGTATTAAAGCAAATCCACCATTATCGAATTATGAAATAGCTAATGGACTTGGTATAAATGAAAATACAAAATGGCATTTTGATTTACCACAATTAACACGACATTCTTCTGTGATTAGCAATAGTAGTAGTGAATCCTGAATATTAATTGAGTAATTATAATATTCTAATTAATTTAAATATAACAAAAAATGTAGGTACATGTTTTGTTCATTAAATGTTTCTGCCATTTTATATTTAGAAAAAATTATTATAAACTTTAACATTATGTTAACAAAGTATTTGCTCAATTTATTTGATTATAAAACAGCATTTACTCAGAATTACATGAATGAAAATAATTATAATGATTACAAAATATCAAATATTAATTTATACAAACAATACAAAGCATCTAAATAAATTCATGGTCTTTCAGTAAGGATGCATATATTCGCTACGTTTTTTTGTATTAAACAATTGACATTTATAGAATTTTTTGGTTTTATTATCTTCAAGTGTAAATATAAGCTGCCATCGTTGTAACACAATACTTGTATAAATATATTTGTTTATATTTTAATTCAAATGATCTAAATATTTTTCTACAAAATTTGCATCATTTCATATTATTCTGACTTAAAAAGTGTTAGTATTTCCCTTTCAAATATATTGTTATAACTAATTATATTTACTGTTACAAATCAAAGTTTGTATAAACCTATTTTATAATAAAATTGAAAAAAGTGGGGATTTTATTACTTTAATAATTAATTTCCATTTTTCATAAATTATACGATTTAAATATACCAATATACTAGTTTTTGTTTCTTATTAAACTAAAAAATTTAATTGTTTTCTAAAATTTTTAAAACAACTTCATTTGCAGCTTGTTGACTACCAAGTAAAGTTACACCATTCTTAGATAATACAAAGTTTATCATGGATGTAGGATTATTATTAAGCATTCGTGAAAATCTATAAAAACCATGTCTAAAAAATAACCATATATTTAATTTTATTTCAATTTTAACTTATACTTTAATGTAAATAATTCATTATTTTTGTTATATATTACCCATTTTGAACATCATGTAGTATTTCTAATAAACACCAAATTATGATAAATATAAAGCATGTAATTATAGTTCCCCCCAAAAAAGTCCATTTTTTCCAAATTGTGCTTTCAAATTCTAATAAATTGAAATTTTTTATAAAATAAAACATTTTATCTAAGTTATAGGTAGTAAAAAAAAGAATTATATTACCTTTTGTTTCATTTATTATAGTAATACCAAACGTAAAAAATGTTTGACCTAAAGCTCTAATTGATTTATTTCTATAATGGTAAATTTGACACAAGTAAAAGTTTTCTATTTTATCACGAGTTATGTAACTTGAAATAGTAACAGTACTAACTCGCCCATCATCCTTTAGATTGAAAAAATCATTGCTTAACAAGAAATTAAAAATGGCAAAATTAATACTCATATAAAATTAAACATTTCAATAAAATATTTACTTATCTCCATAAGATTGCAATAATTTATCCATTAATAACCAGACAGCATGTGTTGGTTTAGAAAATATTTGTCCTCTTTCATGGGGAACTGTATCATAGAAACAAGATAATTTAAGCTCTTGACCAGACAGTAATGACACTTCTTCATAATGGTCTAAAATGTTATGTACATTAAATACTATATTATTTCATATACTACATAATTAAATCATTGAATATTAATTATCAATTATTATCAATTAATAATTAAGATCCAGTACCAGATATACTAATAGTATGACTAGAAAATCGTTTACTACTCGTTTCTAAAACTGATAATGATATAAGATCTATTTCTTTCCCATTTATATTAAGAGATCCAAGAGTAAAACTCATTTGTGGTATATCAATATAGTTAGGACATATCTTTTCCTATTACAAAAAATTGTCTATTTCACTTTATTGGTAATTTAAATAAATATAATTTTTTGTTTTAAGTAAAATTATTTACTTTCATATCATCACGTATAGCTCCCAAAAATATGTCAGTTATAGATGTAATCATTATTTCTTCCATTTCTAAAGGCACATATTTCTTTTCATTTCCATTAATTTGCATGTACATATTTTTGCCATCTTGGGCTATTATTATTTCTAACCAATCTCCTATTAAAATATGTTCCATACTCTCAATAGCGATATAAGCTACTCCTTGATGAAATTTAAGCTTTATGTTTCCCTCTTCTAGTAATAATAAAACATATTTGTTTGAAGAATCATCTGATATAATTGCTATAACTCCATTTATGTCTTCTACTTTTATAGCAATTATAATCTAAGTAACAATTATTATAAAATTCTTATTAAATAATAATTGCTATTTACAATATTATTTAAAATAGAACTGTCATTTCTTACTTGCCAATATTCTATGTTCCTTGGGCATGATACTGCAATTGAATCTGTTAAGCCAACATAAATAAAACCTTCATTATCATCCCCCATCAAATATTGGACATTGTGACTACTGAATGGAATATTCCCATATTTTTTAGTATATTTATCCTAAATGAATTTTAAAAATATTAATTAAATTAAAATTGATTACAATTACAAAAATTTAATTAATGTGAGTAACTTTTGATGCACGAAGTAGGATAGATGCAAAATTAATTGTTATTTCTTGAATTTGACCTTGAAATCCTCCTACTTTCATAGCATGATCCAAATTATATGATATTGGCATACATGAAAAAGTACTAACTTTATGAAGACCATCATTAATACGTAATATACCACGAGTTCCATATATTGCAATTAAGACTACATGCCATTGTCCAATCTAGTAAGCAATTTATTCTAAATATAATTCATTCAACGTATAAAAAGATATTTCTTACTTCCAATTTTTTCTCATAAATTAAAGCCAAAGAACAACCAGCAATTTGAGACAGAAGTACTATCTTCCCATTTTGAAGAAACAACTTTACAAAATCACATATTAATCCTTTGCAATTATTTTCAAAACGATAAATAATCGTACCGAAAGGAGACAATGGTAAAAATCTTAAGTACATATGAAGCAAATGTGAAGATCTCCCAGTTGTATTATATAAAAGACTACTTTTTTCTGTAAAGTGTACTACTTCGTGTGATTTAACTATTAAATAAAATCGATTGTTTTACAATAACGTTTTAATATTAATGATATTATTGAATCTCAAATATACCTAGACATGGTTTAGTGAAACATTGGCGAACTTCAGAAGCTAAACCAATGCAAGATCTACCATTACCACTTGGAGAGGGATTGTTACACATTCGATTTCGAAACTGTATACCTATTCCACAATTTGATGTACAAGATGACCAAACTGTCCATGATGTCCACATTCCATTTACTAATAAAAATTGATAAATATATAACATACATGATTCTAAAAATATAAAATATATAACTTTTTAGGAAATATATAATATTTTTTTTATATAAAAATAATATTCTTACTCGAGCAATTATTAATTGCACAACCTTTTATCTCTTTGGATGAACCTTTACATGAAGTTCCTTGTAAACTTTGCGTCTCTAAACATGAACGTATTTTTGTTTGAATTCCATTACCACATTCTACACTGCATGTACTCCATCTACTCCAAGTAGTCCAAGTTCCTGCTATTATAGATAATGAAGAAGAATGTAAGTTAAATCATGTTTCATATATATAAATACATAAATACATTTAATATACTTGAAAATTTTCTGCAATTAAATCCCATACAACTTCTTGTTTCAAATGCCAAATCATTGCACCTTAACTTGAAATTTGAAGGTATTGGACTATTACAAACTCTTGTACGATATTTTTGTCCTCTTCCACAAATTGCAGTACATGAAGACCAAATTTCCCAAGTACTCCAACCACCAGCACCTGTAGAAGATATTTCATTAATTATATGCATTCATGAAAATCAACTGTTTTTAATTATTTACTCACTTGGGCATCCAACATCATATTTAACACAATTCATAGCATTCCAATAAAGCATCTTTATAGAAAATATATAAAAATATTATTTTTAAACATTTTCTTTTAACTGATTATAAATTTTATTGTTTGTTACCGCATTGCTTTTAAGAACTTTTTCTACAATGGGAAATGTACAATCGACAAGAAAACATAATTCAATTAGAGCTGGTAATTTTTTGTGAATTTCCTTCACAATTTTCAGTTCTTCTTTACGTATAGGATGAGTACTTACAACTTCTTCATAATCATTTATAGTGCACCCTAAAGAAATGATTATTGTAAAGAAGTATTTGCAAAAATAATGTTAATCTATTTCATTTATTAAATTTTACCCATAATTTGACAACTTTCAATTTGATAACTGAGACCTATACAAGATGCTCCGTCATTAGAAGGTATAGGATTAGTACAAGTACGACGTCTTGTCTTTTTTCCTTTAAAACCACATTTTCCAAAACAAGATTCCCAAGGGCTCCAAGAAGTCCACCCACCATCAATAGGACATAAATCACCATTTTCTAAGCCAAGATCGCAGTAAAGATTTTTCATTGCATTAGATAGATCACCTGTAATAGAAATAGTGAATACATATTAAACTATCAAAGTAAGGCTTTTTTACCAGTAGAAGCAAGACAAATTGACGAAAAAAGAAATATGAAGAAAAACATTAGAAATAACAAAATTTTCATTGTATGTAATAATAGGAAAAATAAAATAATATTATAAGTTAGAAATATCGAATATTAAGAACGTTAATACTAAGTCAATTATATATTTCAATTATTTAAAGTTAGAAGTTATAATGTTTTAATATTTAACATTCTTATATTAAATGTAAACTATTCAGTGTACAAAGCGATTCATTTCAAATTTAAATACATTTGTTTTTTATGTATAAGATAATTTCAAGCCAATGAGATTCATTAATTGTGCGTATGCGCAACAGTTTGTATGAAACTATAACTGAAAATTTACCTGTATGGCGCGAGTGGCACAAACCTCGTGAATATATATTATCATCAAAAATATATAAATAGTACTAATAAATTGTAGTAAGTGTTTCTTAATTAAAATGAATATAATTTAAATTTTATAGTATAATTATATTTTTAAGAAACATTACCGTACATTATTACTTCTAATGTTATTCAATATTTAAGCAGATAAACAAGTCTAACCTTTAATTATAATACTTTAAAGAAAAAATTAGAAAATTAAAGTATGATTAATGGATTCTTATAAATAACATTATCATTATAAATAATAATACCTTAATTATATAATTAAATAATAATTATATAATAATTTGTATTAAATATTCTTAATATCTTCATTACTGTCATATTTTTGTTTTTGTTAATTTAGTTCAGTGTGTATTTAATATTTAATTTTTTCCTGTACCATACAAACATGACTCTCACTGAAATGGAACCGCTTAAAATACACTTAGATGCTTTAGAAATGGCAGGAAAAGTGGTTGATATACACATTACAGCAGATAGCAATTTTCCTTCTTTAATTAATCTTATGCGATACAATATACAAGGTAAATACAAGGTTACTCTATGCTGCTTTATACTTAATTATAATAAAAGATTTTAGAAACAAATTGTTTCAGGCGGACCAACTGTTAGTGGTCTTGATGATCATGATTATCCAAATTTAAATGGAATGTCAATGTGTTTTTCCAATATAAATCAAATGAAAGTATATAGTAAAATTTCTTTGCCATCTGAAATAATGGAGCATTTTCATCGCATCCTTTTAAATATAATAAATTATGCATTAATAATTTTGAAGCACATGTTGTGTTTCCTTTTTCAGAAAAGGTTTCATTTATAAGAAAATATGATTCCTTAATATTTGATTAGATATGCAATGTCATTGCATGATGGGGCTCTTTACAGAAATTTCAAAAGCTTGGCTTACTATTGATAGTGATATATATGTTTGGTCTTATGAAAATGAGTAATTATTTATCTAAAGTTTGTTAAATGTTTTTTCCATAATATTATAATTAAATAGTGATAATATGTTTTTAGGTCTGATGTTGCATATTTTGATGGATTAAATGAAACTATTATAAGTGTAGGTTTAGTAAAACCCAAATCTGGAGTATTTCAATCTTATGTGAAGTATTTATTGATTCTTACAACTACAGTAGAAATTACAATTCTTGGAGTAACATTAGCAGAAACTAGTGAAGGTATTACAGTTTTAATTTCAGTATAAAATATAATTTTTCTCAATCTATCTCAATTTTAACTTGATTTTCAATTTAGGCACATCACCAGAAATGCAATTGGTTCCAGAACCAATTTTTACAGTTGCTACAGATGGTATTGGAATAACAACAATAGCAAACACTAATAGTGGAAGAATATTTCTTGGTGGTAGAAATGGATCGCTTTATGAAATATATTATCAGGTAAATATAATTATTAGAATAAATATAAAAGTAATCAATACAAAAATTGCAATTACTTATTGTAGTATATGTTTATTGTATAGGCGGAAAGTAGCTGGTTTGGAAAACGTTGTAAAAAAATAAATCATTCTGAAGGTCCATTATCATTTTTAATTCCATCATTTGTCACTATAGCTTTAACAGAGGAAGAAGCGATAATACAAATTTCCGTTGACGATTCGCGAAATATTTTGTATACTCTTGGTGATAAGGGAACAATCACAGTTTGGGATATTGATAATGATGATGCATCCAAAATTGCATCTTTGTCACAAGCTTCTTTAGTACAAAATGCTGTTCATGTTGTTAAGTATGTATGTGTATATCTATTTTAATTTTAAGTAATATGAGGTGAAATTAGTAGAATTCATATTACATTTATTATTTTAGAACATTGGATAGTAATAATTTTCGACCATTAGTGAGCATATCTGCTATTACAGAATCAGAAGCAGTACATTTAAACTTAGTTGTAGTTGCAGCTACTGGGACACGTTTTTATTTTAGTTGCACATCAGTTGCTAATCCAACAACCAGACCTCAAGGTCTACAATTAATACATGTTAGGTTACCACCAGGTTATGCTGCTAATGCTACTGTAATGAGACCAAGAAAAGTACAAATGGCACATTACAGAAAAGGTATAGATATAAATACTCTTCTTAAGTACAAAATATTGAAATTTATGTATTATACTATATATGTGTTATAGGGACACTGATTCTCGTTTGTGGTGGAGATACAGAAACTGCTTTGTGTCTAAGTAATGATGCTTATCCATTCACAAATTATTTAGCTGAAACTCAAAGTCCTTTATCTCTTGATAGTCCAGTATGGTCAATGGCAGAAATTCTTGTTGAACCAGCAATACGTATTGAGAAACAAAGTATTACTCAAGAAGAACCTCCTCTTCTTGTAAGACAACACATGGAAGCACCTCGGAAATTTATATTTTTAACTTCTCAGGTATACAATTGATTAAAGGTTCGTAAATTTATCATATGTATTTATTTACAAGTTACTTATATCTTTAATTATAGGGCGCAATAATTTATGTTCAAGTTCGTCCAATGGATATTTTAAAGCAGCTTCTTTTAGAACAGCATGGTCCTGATACCGAAGCTGTCCGCACATATTTTCAGTCACAATCATTGGAACAAGCATGTGCAACTTGTCTTATTTTAGCTACACTTGAAAGTTCTCAAAATGCTGAGGTATTGATTGAAATTATACTTATAAAAATTAAAATTCATTATAAAATAGTAATTAATTGTAATGTATAGTTAGCAGAATGGGCGACAAGAGCATTCTTTTTATATGGTAGCCAACGAACCACAAGTATTGGACCTGCAATTGATGTACATGGTAGTAGCTTTGCTAATATAAATACAGGTATTATATTAATTACATTAGTTTTGTTTTTCCTTATTAGTACATTTATAAAACTTGGGATCAATCTCTGTAGGAGACATTCGGACATCAACACCAAGAGTTCCAAATTATGATTTAAGACTTCAAGGTTTTCGGTCTCATGCTCCAGTTGGACTCAATACAGATATTTCTCTGCAACAGTTTTCTGCAAAACACAATGGTTTATATCTATATGTTGGAAGGATACTTAGACCCATATGGAACATGCGTTGTATTAAACAAGAAGTTATAAATAACAAAACTCAGGTGAATTCAATTTACATAAATTTTCTTCAAACATTCCATTCTTACACATATAATTTCAGATTTCTAGTACAATTTCAACAAGACAAATTAGTTGGATTTTAAGTCTTCTGCAAGCATTAAGATCATTTCTTAATAAAAATACTCATATTACTAAACAGTATGTTTTTATATGGTATTTCAATAACAATGCAAATAATTAAATTTTATTTGTACTACTATTTATCGATTTTCAGACATGGTACTACTAGAACAACTGATGGATTTGAAACATCAATTTCTGGACATTATCAAGAACCAATAGTTGAAGAAAGAAATTCTTTAGCTGCATTAAAAATTTTTATCACTCATGCCTGTGAAGTTTTAGAACTTTGGAAAATTTTATGTGAAAATCACTTAAATAATATTGTGAATTGTTTATCAAAGGTTATTCAAGTATACATTATGATTTTTCAATGAGAAAATTAAAAATTCATACTGATCTTTGTACTAATTTATAGGATCAAATTAATCAGTTCTCTACGGCTACATTTCGAGATTTAATTTTAATTGGACATGAAATTTCTTCATTATTAATCATTCATCTTATAGATAGGTAAGTCAATTAAATAAATGACAAAAACACTTTCATTAAATATCATAAATGTTATAGTTATCTCGGAGATAATGCATCTGTCGATGCTGTTAGTCAAAGATTACGAGAAGTTTGTCCAAATTTATATAAAAGTGAAGATGCTGTTTGTTCTAAAGTATGAAAAATTAAATTATTTTTAAATAAAATTAAGAAAAACAAGATTTTATTTATCATTCTTATAAATTATAGGCTAATGAAATAATTTTAAAAGCAAAAAGTTGTATAAATCCAGATGAGAAGGAACGTTATTTACAATCTGCTTTGCAGGTAAATATACAATAGTATTTTGATATGTAATATTAGTTACATAATTTTATTCCTCATTTATGTTATGTCGTCAGCTTTGCAAAGAAGTTGCTCCCAGATTGAATCTGAGTGCAGTGTGCCAACAGTTTATTGCTTGTCAATTTTATTCTGGTGTACTCGAATTATGTCTCTGTTGTGCAGAAAGAGTAGATCCCAATAATGCTGCATTACATTATTATAAAAATAATGAACCAATTGAAGATCAAGAAGGACGATTTGCCTATATGAAAAGGTATTAATTATAAACTTACATTTTTAATAATGTTTAACATAAGATGATTCTAATTATTCACTTGATTTTTTATTTGATATGTAGATTAGAAATTTATAAAGAATTCATCGCGCTACTAGACCATCTTTACAATCAAAGTATCTCTAATCCATTGACGCCCACTATTCCTAGTAAACCCGGGCCCCCGCCACAAAATTCTTCAACTATACCTGTTACACCAGCAAAAGAAATAGTAAAATTCACAGTTTTTTTTAATTAAATTATTTTTGAAAAACTTATTCGATCTATATTAATGTTTATGTGTTTTAGTTACATGATATTATAACTGATGCATTACATTCCATGTGTGAAATTCTCCATGCATCAGTATATGCTTGGATGATAGAAAGAAGACTTCATGGAGAACTTGTTGCTCTAGAAGCTTATTCTTTAGAAGCTTATCTTATCCGTGTTAATGCGCCAGACTTGCTTTGGCAGTTTTATGAAAATAATAAAAATCATGCTGCTGCAGCCAAAATCTTAGATGCGTTAGCAACGAAAGAGTACGTATAAAAGTAAATAATTATTATTGATTAAATTTACATTTCTTTTTTCCTTTTTTTTTTTTTTTTTTTTTTTTTTTTAACACAGATCAAATATACCGTTATCACAGAGAGTTGAATATTTAGCTCGAGCAGTAGTTTGTATGCGAAGCGACCAAGTTGGATATGCGCCATACCTTGGTATTTTTTTACGTGAGTTAGAAGACAAAGTAGAAGTCGCTAGAATACAGCAACAAGTATGTGATTATAAATATTATGTCAGAAGTAATAAATTCATTTACATTACAATTTATAGACTTATTATTTTTCAGATATTAGATACAATTTGTAATCAGCATCTGAGCGACAGACTTAGCGAAGATGCATTTAGAGCATTAAATTCCTCATTACTTGATATCACAAAGGTAGAATGCAATCTTTCCGTTGTAGATTATAATTTTTACACTGATCTTATAGAATTAATAGGAGATAATAATTAGTCATTAATTTCAGTTGTATGAAAAATATGCAGATTTCTTACAATTATGGGAATGCAAATTAGCTATAATTCATTGTTCTGGTCATCAAGATGCAATGTTAATCCAAGAAATCTGGACTAATATTATAAACAATGGTATTTACATTACATTTTATGTACTTGTTTCTGAATACATTAAGAAGGTTTTATAGGTATTTTGTATGAACAATATATATTCACAGAATTAAAAGATGCATCAACAGCAGAAGATAAAATGGCTATCTTAATGAGCAAAATTATATCTCTGGGACAGGAGTACTCAGGATCACCACACTGCTTTCCAGTTGGTAATAAAAAACTCTCATGATTATTACAAAGAAATGAAGATATTTTGATATAAAGTAAAAGTATAAAACATATTTTCTTTTAGACTTCCTGATAAAGCAATTAGAAATAAAAGCATGTAAATTAAATGTATCAAATACTGGAATTATATCTGGATTTTTACAATTAGGAGTATCAATGGAAGATCTTTTAGATATTTACAAGTAAATATAGTAAATACTAAACAATATATTTCGTATATTTTACATAATAAAAAATATCATAATCTTTGGTTTTAGAATGATTGGCAAAGACACTCGAACCTGGTTAAATGAAGGGAATGAATTTCATCTTATTGAATCAACTGCAAATTTAGTTAATTATTTTATATCGCATTCAAACGTTACTAATACTTTTGTTAAGTAAGTATTTTTCATTTATTATTCTATAAATCTCTAAAAATAAATTAAATTTATTTATCATACACAAATCTTATTTTATTAATGTCACATAAATGATTAAATTGCAGGCGAAAAATAACAACAAAATGTCAGGATGTAATCTCAAAGTGTTTAACTACTTTATATAGCAAACCTCATGGACAAGAATTAATAACTAAACTTAGATCAATTCAGAATGTTCTAACTCGTATGTAAGAAATAATTTTTACTGTTTTTACAATAACATTTTATAAAATTGTATAAATCATTGAAGATTAAAATACAACGAAATAGAATATTTCGTGGAAACGTTATTAAGTTTCAAAAAAATGTAAATATAAAAAAATAACACAAGTGCTTAAAAATATTTTTCATTAATTTAATTAATTATAACATCTTTTTCCATAATAAACGTCACATATACTGAATATTTATGATGCAAATCATCTTTTTTTATTAACTTAATTATATAATAATAAAAATATTTTACATATTTTATCTCTGTTCCAAATTTCTTTTCCTTTTTATAATTTTATGTACTTTTATATTCCCAAAATTAGTATGTAGAAATTTTATTTCACCAATAATATCACTATAATCTATTGTAATAATATCATAATAGTATATTACAATCTGTATTATAATGATATACAGTGTGTCCTGGATAACATATGATAGGAGGCGGGGATAATAACCTATAGAAATATAAAAAAAATAAAAAGAATAACATTTTCTCGATTTTCCAGCTTCGTTAGTCGCACTTACAACTAATTGTAAAATACGATTCGCTCACCAACGTATATTATCTATCATACTTGTGAACAACGTTTACAGGACATTTATGAGTTACTGTATTCAGGAAAGAATAAAAAATGTATTTTATTAACTTCATTATTTATTATTAATTACAAAATTGTTGAAATTGATTGTTTCGCTCTTGTATACATATTATTATATGTAAACTACTAGGCAACGTGTTTTCATTTTGCAAATTTTCAAATGCGTAATACATTGTGATTGATCTTGACTCTGATTGTTTGCACAGTCAACTTTCTCTGATATGACCCTACAAATCAAAATCAAGGGATGTAAATTCAAAGGACCTTGGAGGTCAGACAATTCTTCCTTCAAAATCAATCTATCATTGATAATTTTCATTCAAAATGTTTCTTATTCGTCGGATGAAATATGGCGAAGCACCATTGTATTGGAAATTTATTTGTTCCCGAATAGAAGACACTTGAACTAATAATAACAATTCTGCATATAGAAAATGTAAATAAGATTCTCCTGTTAAATTGTTGACATCTGAATGTCTACAGAGTACTAATTCAAGAAACATACAAAAAGTCGTGAAACATTATTTTTCACAAACACGATAGACAAACACTATACGTTGGCAGAGGAATCGTATCTTACAATTAGTCATAAGTGTATAACACAAAGCCAATTTTCAAACCTGATTATCTCGAAGCCAAAATTGAAAAAATTCTATTCTTTCTATTTTTACTTTTTCATAAGGAATCATCTCCCATCCCCTTTGTGATTTGAGAACACCTTGTATTATTTTGTACGAAATTCTCATTAAAAAATATATAAAAACATTTCTACAACAACATCTATATATTATATTAACAATATTAACAATATAATTACTTTTAAAAATATTTATAACCAAAGCTGAAGTTCCAATATTTGTAAATTTTGTTGGTCCTTAAAAGGACCGTTTTGTTATGGTAAATTATTTTTCTTATTTAGAACTTGTATACTTGGTAACTGCTTTAGTACCTTCGCTAACTGCATGCTTCGCCAATTCACCAGGTAATAGAAGTCTCACAGCAGTTTGAATTTCGCGAGAGGTAATGGTGGAACGTTTGTTATAATGTGCCAATCTTGACGCTTCCGCTGCAATGCGTTCAAAGACATCATTGACAAAACTGTTCATAATACTCATTGCTTTACTGGATATACCAGTATCAGGATGCACCTGTTTGAGTACTTTGTAAATATAGATTGCGTAACTTTCTTTCCTTCTTCTCTTCTTCTTTTTGTCAGCTTTATTAATATTCTTCTGAGCCTTGCCGGCCTTTTTCACAGCTTTACCACTAACTTTTGGAGGCATAATGTCAAGATTCAAACCGTCTTCGATTTAAATTCAACACTTTCTTACTGACTTTAACGATGGTTGCAGAATGACTCTGGACGATTGTCTCTCATTTATATAATAGAATGAGGTAGCCACTGCGAACCAATCGCTGCAGTCCATGGTGTGAACTAAAATTCTTTGCTACGTGATTGGAGCGCTGATACTACTCCATCTGGTAACTGATATTGTAGATTATATTTCACACACGCATAGATTGTACTCACACTCTATATATACGTTTTTATGGTTTAAACTATACAGTTGTATTTATACTTTTATACAAACTTTTTACATTGTATAAAAATAATAAATTAATAAAATGACGAAATACAAATTTTCTATTCAAATGATGATAAAAATATAATTTCTCTTTATAAATAGTTTTCTACCAATTTATTTATATACATATTACAATATAATGCAATACTTTAAAAGAAATTATATTATATTATGTATATTATTACATACATATGTAATATATAACAATATTGTACACTCAAATATAATATCGATATAAAAAATGTAAATAATTGAATTTAATATTTGTTTTTATTTTTTTTTTTTTATTATTGACGGTAACAAATTGTTCTTCAATACTAATAATCATTTTTACAAACAACTCCTGGAACATGTCAAATGTTTATACGTATTTTAAGTGTAAAAATTCGTTTAAACTGTATATAATTACTTTTATTCTATTCAATATAAACATAAATGTTAATGAAAAATTATTTCCCTTATTTATATAATTTTACTCTGAAGATTACCAAACAAACTTAAAATTCAAATTAAATGACAAGTTGTTAAGCATTCTTAGTGTATACATGTACATATATGTAAGTTCATGAAATTCTTGCTCTTCAAAATATAATTGTATTGCCAGAAATTAACATTAAATGTTACAAGTTCTATTAAATTTTGCAAAAATCTGTTTTATTTGTGAACCTCTTATTTTTATATAATGTTCCAGAAAGGAAGCACACTATAAAAATGTTAAAGTCAAGAAAATTTACGAATATTATTATTAATAATATAAAAAGAAAAAAGCCAAGACAAAATTGTGGAATATACATATATACATATATTTAGCAAGTGTTAAAATAAATTTATTGTGAAGTAAACATTTTTAACAGAGAGATTATCATAAATATTTTCATAATAAATAAAATCAAAATGAAAATTTTTGTAAAAAGTATGATATTAGTACGTAATAATAAGTAATTAATACTAATAAATCATAGAAAATATAATACTTTGCAATTTTTTAAAATTAAACAATTTATACATTAAATAGTTTTAAAATTGCTTTTTTTCTTAGTTTTCAGAAATTTCTTAACTTTATGATGAAATAACAATATTCCTCGTATATACACAAGGATATGTACGCACACATATGTATCGTTTCGCATATATATATATATATCCAATATATTTCTCTTAAATTTTTTAGTTTAGGTAAAAAATATTAATATTGTAAATTATTTACGGTAAAAATAATTTTGAAAACTACAATATTAAAATATTACGTTAAAAAAATAAACATAAAACCGTCGTATGAAACATCTGTCCTCTAAACCAATTAAAATGCTTCTGATCAACTATTGGACGGACGTAGCTACCGTAGTGGCTATATATTGGTAGGAAGAGGGGAATTGAAGAATAGTTTCTACCTGCTGGACGAAGCAGACTGTTGTAAGGTGTTCAACGATCCTGTGCATTTAACAACTAATCGAAGATGTCTGGTCGTGGAAAAGGAGGAAAAGCGAAAGCAAAAGCGAAGTCTCGTTCAAATAGGGCTGGGTTACAATTTCCAGTTGGACGTATTCATAGACTTTTAAGAAAAGGAAATTACGCAGAACGAGTTGGCGCTGGAGCTCCCGTTTATTTGGCTGCTGTTATGGAATATCTAGCCGCTGAAGTTCTGGAATTGGCGGGAAATGCTGCTCGAGACAACAAAAAGACCAGGATTATTCCTAGACATTTGCAACTTGCAATTCGTAATGACGAAGAATTAAATAAACTTTTATCTGGAGTTACTATTGCTCAAGGAGGAGTTCTTCCTAACATTCAAGCTGTACTTTTACCAAAGAAGACGGAAAAAAAGGCTTAGATTTCAACATAAATAAAATGGCCCTTTTCAGGGCCACAAATTTTCAGACGGGAACATTCTGCTTCATAAGAATGATTAATATTTTAAATACTTCTTGATTTTTATCATATTTTTGTTTTCCTATTAAAATAATGCGAATTTCAAATTTATTTTTGTCAAATTTTTTTAATAGGTTTTTTTTTCTATATCAAAGTCCAAATCACTTCCATATTATTTCTCAGCTCAAATAATAGAAAAAAATTTTCATGTTAATGATTTAACATTAACCTATCAATATGTGTTACCTTTTTCGTACGTTGATATTTTTCATAATAATGTATTAGATAATTGTAAAATTAAATAAATTTTTTCAATCTGTTCTGCGAAGTTACCACACTATGGCAACAACCATCTTGATTGTCACCAGACAACAAAAAACATTGTGTTTTTCTTTTTTGTTGTTTTCTTATTGAAGGTCAAGTATATTAAATTTCAAATTTTCATTTGCAATTCAAGTTTCAATTGGTTATCACATGATCTTCATAAATTTATAAGATAATTACAAACTACAACAGTTTAGAATCAGTAAATATTTGTTTGTAAATAAATAACAAATTGAAGTTTATTGTGAATAAATTTCATATTGCATTGTAATGTTTTATAAATCTAGTTTCGAATAAAGATTAATAGTATAAAAATATAAAAAAATTTTATTGAAATTTTAAAAAATGGAAACAAAATTTTCTTATTTAAATACTCTATTGACAGATAAAGTAATTACAGCTTTTATTTTTACACAAATATGAAACAAAGATAGAATAAACTGATTCGCAATTAATCAAATGTGTTTTCGTTATAAAAATGTAGATTACAACGTTACAAAACACATTTGTTTTGAATGAATATATTGGCAGCATTGATTTATGAAAGAGAATAGAAACATCCGAATCCGGCTTGAAGTTGCATGTCTGGTATGTATGTTCGGTAGTTTTGCTGAACGAACCGAGTAACGAAGAAATGTTTTCACGTGTAATATGAAACGAAGAAAACTATTTAAGTTATAAGCGTGCAGTGTTTATAATTACACACTTAATTTCTTAGCGGTAAGATTTAAATTTTTTAATGGGAATATTATTTAATTTCTATGTATATAACCTTTTCTCTTGTCAATATGTAGTACGTTAACTTTAGAATGTTACAGTTCATAAAATAAAATTGTATTTCACTTTTTCTTGTATATGTAGAAGAAAAAGTGTATTCTTTGCTTTACCTTTAGGTTACCATACGTTTTTATGTAGTACTTATTTTATAAAATCGAAGTTACACTCATTTTATCAATAAAATGTTGACAATAATTTGCATTTGCATATTGAAATTATAGTAATACATAAAAATCCATATAAAAATTTCAGATATTGAAATTATTCGAAATATAAAATTATTTTATTTTATGGATATTTTGTTGTTAATGTTTATATTTATTATACTTTGCAGCCAAGGGTAAATAGAACTCTTCTAACAAGACGGTATGTTTGTAAGAGTCTGCTTGCGAATTCTCACGGGGGATGAATGAGGAAGAATTATTGAAACGGTCTGCTGCAGAGCGAGATAGAATATTTAGCTGCTATGACCGTGGGAGAGAAAATGGAGCAGAAATTGATCCTTGGGAAGATCCATCTTTTGAAGTGTATCATACTACAGATAGATATGGATTCATACAGTAATTATTGTACCAAAGATTATAATAATAATACTATTATTTTTTTTTTTTTTTCATTTTAATATCTATATTTTAGTGACAAACGTTTGCCACAAAAGCCAGACCCTAATGAAATTAAGACTCACCGGGTGGAAATGGAAAGATTAAAAAAATGGGAAAAAATGACAAAACAGTGGGATAGTTCTTCAACTAAGGAAAAATTACGACGCAGAGTATATAAAGGAATTCCTAATAGATTTCGTGGTCAAGTGTGGACATTGTTATTGGGTATTAAAAATTTGAAAAAAGAACAGACTGGTAAATATGAAGAGATGTTACAACTTGCACGTCAATGGTCTACTGAAATAAGACAGATCGATGCTGATGTAGCTAGACAATATAGAGATCATATCAATTATAGGTATGTACATTAAGATTGAAAATTATTGAAGAAGTAATAATAAATAAATATTTATTGTATATTTATTCAAAATTATACTAAATTTTGATTTATTTTCAATAGAGAAAGGTATAGCATAAAACAGCGTTCTATGTTTTATGTATTGGCTGCTTATAGCATGTACAATATGGAAGTGGGTTACTGTCAAGGAATGTCTGTATTAGCTGGATTGCTTTTACTATATATGGATGAAGAAGATGCATTTTGGGGTCTTTCTGTGTTACTCGCAGATAAAAAATATACTATGCATGGTCTGAGCTGATTTTATAAAATTTATTCTTGAAAAGATTTTGTTTCAATATTCATCTAATATATTTATTTGTAGGATTTTATGTTGATGGATTTCCGAAATTAAATCGCTTTATAGAACATCATGATAAAATTATGAATAAATTTTTGCCTAAATTAAAACGAAAACTTGATAAATGTGGTTGCGATTCTATTCTCTATGCATTAAAATGGTTTTTTGTTGTTTTCCAAGAGAGGGTAAGGAAATAACTTATATTTAATTTTTCTACATTATTATACAATTTATTCTAATATATACTGTGTCTAAGTATAATTATTTATTTAAAACAGACACCTGTTAGTCTTGGTCTTCGAATTTGGGATATATTTTTACTAGATGGAGATCGTATTTTACCTGCTATGGCATACACAGTTATGAAAATGCATAAACGTTTTCTCATGCCAATGGAAAGTTTGGATGAATTTTGTAATTATTTACAAATTAAATTAGAAAAAGATTTTTGCTTTGATGATGATACAGTAATAAGTACTATGGAACGTAGTATGGAAGAATTGAAACGTGCCAAGTTGGATTATCCTGGCCCTCCTTTACCACATGAGTTACCAAGATTTCCATTTGGTACATTTAAAGAACCTTCATTTGCAAGCAAGGTAATTTATGCTATTTATATTATTTTATGTATAATAATAACTTAAAACATAGAAATAATTAGTCAGAATAATTTTGTGGCTCAATATTGATATGCTTAGGTTGGAAGACGTACCGAAGAGTTTAGCGAAGCACAACATGTTATGCGAGAATCTATAACACAACGTAGAGACTTGGTACTTGCTGATGATGGTAGAGAAAGTACAACACCAGTTGAACAAACGAGTTGTGGTCTTGGCGGTGAGTTACGATATAATGAAAACATAGTACATGGTAACACAAATACTTGCCTTCTACATTGTAAACAAGAAAGTATTGTTAGGGATGAAGAAAAAGATAAAAGTAGAGATACAGAGATTGATATAATGGTTATATATAATACTAGATTATAAGGTACTTCTCAAAGTTTCTGATCTTAGATAAGGTTTTGACATTAGAAAGTATTATACATAATATTGCTCAGCAGCATGTGTGTATATGTATATATACATTTCTCTCTCTCTCTCTCTCTATATATATATATATATATATATATATATATATTATATCATATTATATAGATAGATAGATAGATAGATAGACAGATAGATAGATAGATAGATAGATAGATAGATAGATAGATAGATAGATAGATAGATAGATAGATAGATAGATAGATAGATAGATAGATAGATAG